GAAGAAGTCTATGGTATCCCATGGCAATCTCATCAAAACGCCCTTCCTGGATGAGCTCTAAATGTCTCATCTTTGTTCAATAACTTAGAAAAAGCTGAATTTGTTTCCTCCTTATTTGAACAAAATAAATGTTTTTTTTTTTTAATAATCTGAGGAATATATAAGAACACCGTTTGGTTATTTGTTGGTGTTTTTAACAGTAGTCAGGTGATGGCCCCTCTGTATTACTCATCTGTCCACATGTTGACTATCTGTCTGATGTAAAATAAGGAATAAAATCTATCTACCTTAAAGGTTTTTTTTCCTGTCATTTGGTCGAAAACATTTAAATTATTTCACATACATTCTCAGGCTAATTTATGTGAAATGAGAGGTGCTTTTTTTTTACCCTGCAAAAGTTCACTTTTTCATATAAAATAGGCTTTTGCATGTGTGTAAAGGTAAGACAAACGCTGTTATCGTTTTATCTCGCGAGATTTGTGACAGGCACCGTGTCAGTTTCCATGAGAGGACGTCGCCCTTTAAAAAACAGTTGGGAGCCAAATGGGTAAAAAGAAAAAAAAAAAAGAGAGAGAGAGACCCAGCCTTTGGTTGTGGAGGATTTGAGCTCCTGAAAGCTTTTCTGTAAGAAAGAGGCGGTGTTTCCCGTCTGCACGTCCAGAGGGAAGAAAAGGAGAGAGAGCTCCGAGGATTCAGGTAAACTCGTGGAAAGAAGTCGCCTCACATGTAGCCTACCTGTTACCGACTTTATAACAAATATTCACTTTTTTTCCCGGTTGTTTTCCTGAACGACAACATCCAGAGCGAAGCAGTCCATGAGTCCGAGGCGGAGGGACTGCTCCGGGGCTGGAGACGGTCCAGCGGGTCGATCAGAAACAGGTGGAAGTGACATCTAAATGTATCCCAAACAGAAAAACGGTGGGACGGTGGCGAAACTTTCCCACATCCTGACTCCGTGCGCGCAAAGATGGATAAACTCACCGTCATATCAGGATACCTCTTCCTCGCTGCAGACATCTTCGCCATCGCCAGCATCGCCAATCCGGACTGGATCAACACCGGAGAACCGGCCGGTAAGGTCGGGTGACACCAGGGGCAAACAGGCCAAACCCTCATTTAAGCATGAAAATGTCACAGATAAGAAGAMACTACAGGAAAGAGTCAGTAAAATGTGAATTTTGTTCACTTAGACTTAGTAATTTAAGGTGAGGTGAAGCCCTTTGCATGATGCTGCCACCTCCGTGCTCCAGGGATGGGAGCTCAACAGTGCTTCTGCTCAGGTGGTCAAACAACATCTGATCTTTGTCCTGATGCATCTCAGTAATCCAAGTAGGAAAAAAAATCAAAAAGAAAAAAAAAGTAGGTCCTCTGGATGGGTTCTTTAGTGAAACGTTTCGTCTCTCCTCCAAGAGACTTCTTCAGTCTGATGAGAAACGTTTCACTAAAGCAGAACCCATCCAGAGGAACTACTTACTTTTTTTCTTTTTGAATATCTGATCTTATTTTTTCACTTTAAAATTAAACCCTTGGATACAAGATTTGCATGATACTGCTGCCGCCGTGCTTAGAAATCTCAGATTAGGTTAGTGGATCTCTAACTAGTCTCCCACAGATCTACTTAGAGTTTTGTTGAGCAGGTAAATAAATCATGAYGCACACAAAATATTTTTTGCCAGTTTCCCCACAGTCAATGTAAGATAAGGTTGGAAAATGCTAAAGCTTTTTGTTTCTGTCTCATCAACAAACCAGTAATTACCTGAACGCAGGGAGTTAAGAGGTTGGATTTTAATCAGGCCTTTTTGGGATGATAATATTTTTGACTCTGAGAATTAAAGCTGTGCATTTTGAGTTTTCTTTTGTTCTGGATTTTGAGTAGAAGTTTGAAGAATGATTGTCCGAATCATTTTGTTATAATCATCCTTCAAACTGATGACTTCCTATAGAAGCAAGTCCACATTTCTTCATTAAAGCTCACTACATAACTCTGTGGCTTAAACACAGAATGAAAAGTAAAGTTCAGTGAAGTTTATTTGCATATAGCACATTTCAGCAACAAGGCAGTTCAAAGTGCTTTACATCATAAAAACATCATAAAAACATAATGCAGTCAAAATTTATGAAACCAGAAATAAACATTACATTTGTTTTCATATGCCATCATCAAAATTGATAAGGATTGTATTGTTGGATTAATGTATTTATTTTTAACTTTTGGGTGGAGGCTTCACACAAACTTATTGCTTGTGCCTCTTCCTGCAGTTTTTTTTCTTGAACTGTTTTGTATTTTTATTGTGCTAATAAACTAAAAAACTAAAAAAATCAAGCAAATGCACATCCATTATGATGATCAGTATTCCACTTATACTAAGGCAGCTCTAAACAGGTGGGTTTTAGTCTTGATTTAAAGGAACTCAAATGTTCCAGCTGTTTTGCAGTTTGTTCCAGATTTTCGGTGCATAAAGCTGAACGCTGCTCCTCTGTGTCTGGTTCTGGGGATGCAGAGCGCACCAGAACCAGAAGACCTGATATCTCTGGAAGGTTGATACAATAACAGATTTTTGATATATGAGTTAACAGATTTCTATTCTCTGAGTTACAGGAAGCTGAGATGCTGTATCTTCCTGGTTTTAGTCAGAACATGAGCAGCAGTGTTCTGGATCAGCTGCAGCTGTCTGATGGATTTTTTTAGTCAGACCTGTGAAGACACTGTTGCAGTAATCAATGAAACTAAAGATAAAMACATAGATGAGTTTCTCTGAATCTTGCTGGGTCATTAGTCCTTTAATCCTGGATGTGTTCTTCAGGTGATGGCTTTGTAAATGTCTTTATGTGGCTCTGATGGTTCATATCTGAGTCCATCACCACACCCAGATTTTGGACCTGATCATTAGTCTCTATATGTAATAACTGAAGCTGCGTGCTGACTCTATGTTGTTACTCTTTAGGTCCAAAGATACAGCGGGTAAAATAAGTATTGAACACGTCACCATTTTTCTCAGTACCGGGGTAAGTATATTACTAGAGGTGCTAATGACATGAAATTTTCACCAGATGTCGGTAACAACCCAAG